TGTGTGTGTGTGTGTGTGTGTGTGTGTGTGTGTTATCAAATGCCACACAATCAGTAATCAGTCCAGTCAGGACTGTCTTTTTGTTCAGGCCTCCCTGCCCTCCTGGGGTACCAGCCAGTCCTTGCTCCAGGAAGGTTGTCGCCATAGCAACCACGCCATCGGCGCCCAGAAAATAAACAGCGCTGACAAAATATGACGTAAACCCACACAGCTAAAGAGGCCGGCGGGGTCAAATAATTWAACGTATGAACAACTAAAACAGGTTATCAGAACAGGCTTATTCGCGCATGCGCACTTTTAACCTGAATCTGAACTGCAGATGTTAGTACACTGCTATAAAGCCTAAATGTTAATAGTGGTAAATAATAAAAATACCGTTTTAGGGAGCATCTTAACAGCACGCCTGACTAAATAAAAWAAGTACTGACCTGCAGACGGTCAGGAGGTTTTTTCTCTCCACAGCCACGTTCCGAGCCGWCCCTTTCATCGACCCGTCTCCCATCGCCGCCTGCACATTGCCAGGCTCCATCCAGGAGACAGCCCTGAAATGAAAGGACCCCTCCCTGTCGGCCCCCACCTTCACTTCTGGCTGCGGGACAGGAGGATGCTGCGGGTCCGCATCACACAGGCTGCGCCTCTTTGCTGCTTCGCTGCAGGAAGAACAGAAAACCTTAGGCACACGGACTCATCTGCGTGTTCATTTATTTTTATCCCACATCCAGACGACTGAAGGCTGAAAGGCAGCTCTGCCCTCTCGCGAGCTTCCCGCCTGCCTCGTGACATCACCATGACATCATCTTCTCTCCTGGGTTTTCGCACAAAATACTTAGTCTGCATTTTGATGTCACGTTTGGATTCTTTCCTTATGAGATGTTGGTAAAGGTTTTTATTGTTTCCAGCGGAGTTTTGTTCCTGGCTTTGTTGTTGGTTTTGTTGCAACCACAAGAGGTCCTCAGTCGACCCCTTTTCCAGCTCCACACCTGTTTTCCATTGGTAGCTGTTACGGCAATATTTATTTAACAAAGACAGAAATATGTGGTCCAAGGATGAAGGTACTCCGTGAGAT